AGCCAGCGCAGTGCTCCGTTCATCGTCACCCTCAGCCAGCGCAGTGCTCTGTCCATCGTCGCCCTCTCAGCCAGCGCAGTGCTCCGTTCATCGTCGACCTCATAGCCAGCGCAGTGCTCCGTTCGTCGTCGCCATCTCAGCTGCCTCGCTTCCCACGCTCAGCTATCCTCGCCCGTCTCTGCGTGCGCTCCTCGCTTGCACTCACCCTCGCGGCCCTCGAGCTCGACGGCAATCTCGCCGAGGCGCAGGCGCGTGCCCGTCGCACAGCTGAGCTCCAGCTGCCCGGCGACGGGCGCGCCGGCCTCAAAGACGGCGCTCTGCAGCACGACGCGCACGCTGACCTTGGGGTGGCGCGCCACGACGCTCATGTGCGCCTCGCTCGGCGCGTGCGGCGCGGGCGGCGAGAACATGGCGGGCGGCGGGCAGTGGCGTGGCGCAAGGCGGGCAGCGCGGTATGGGTGAAAGGGATAGGTCGTGGCGGGTCGTTAGGGGGTCGTGGCAGTCGTGAGCGTAGCGTGGTCGTGAGCGGGAAGGCGAGGATGAAGAGCAGAGGCAGGCGGCATCGGCGAGAGGCACGAGGCATCGGCGGGAGCATCGCTGCGCTGCGCCGCGCCCGGCACCAAAGCACCGGCGCGCCAACAGCAAGCCCCTGAGCATGCAGCGCAGCGCACGGCGCCTCTCCACATCCACGCGCCCGCGCACGTGACGCGCGCCCAGCGCTTGGCCAGCGGTGATGAGCCACAGCGCAGGCGCAGCCATGATGAAGAGAGCCTTTGAGCGCAATATTCTCCGTTGAGTCATCAAAGGACTGTGCTGCATCAAGGCTCTTGGCAGGCGGCGGACGAGCCAGCAACGATGACAGGTGATGGCACGGGCCCCTGCGCCTGACAAGCAGCTCGCACGTACGCGCCCTGCCAGCCGTCTCCCTTCATTGCACAGCGCCTGACGGTCCTGTGCAAGGCTCGAGCTTGAGCGCCGATGACGCAGTGCTTCATGCTTGTGCCCACTGCCGTCCTGCAAGCGCTGTCTGACCGACGCTGGGCGGCCGTCGCTGCTGCACGGAGACGGACCGTGGGAGCAGCTGGCCGGGCGCGTCACGTGCGCCGAGAATTTGGCTGGAGCGAAGCGCCAGGCGGCGCAGGCGAGAAGCACACCGGCAAGGCGCACTCGCCTGCTGGCCTGCCTTCACACCACATCCACTTGCAACCATGTCCGACGCACCCTCGACGTCTGCTGCGCCCACGACGGACGCACCGGCTGCTGCTGCGCCCGCCGCCGCCGCCGCGCCTGCTGCCGCCGAGCCGGCCACGTCCGGCAGTGCCGCCGCGGCGGCCGGCGACGCCGAGCCGCTCTCCAAGGAGGCCGCGACGGCCGAGACGCTGCGCCAGGGTGTGTGCTCTCGTCCACGTCGGTGCATGCTGCCGTGCTGACGCTTCCCTTCTGCCTAGTCGAGTTCTACTTCTCCGACGCCAACCTGCCGTTCGACAAGTTCCTCTTCACGCTCTCGCGCAAGAGCGCCGACGGCTGGGTACCGCTGGCGACGCTGGCGAGCTTCAAGCGCATGCGCCCCATGCGCGAGGCGCTCAGCGACGTCGAGCTCGCGGCCGCGCTGCGTCCCAGCGCGTCGCTCGAGGTCGACGAGCCGGGCACGCACGTGCGCCGCCGCGTCGCGCTCGCGCCCGTCAAGGACGCCTTCCAGCGCAGCGCATATGCCGTGAGTGAGAGCTGAGGGGCCAGGCAGAGAGGAGCAGCGGTGAGAGGGGGCACGTAGGGCTGGGCATTGGCCTGAATGAGCTGGCGATCAGGAGTGCTTCCGCGGGCAGCGACGGTGCGAGACGGAAGGCCACTGCAGGGAGGCAGGGTGCGGGCTCTCGCACCGGCGCGCGACTGCCGAGGCGGCGTGTGCAGAGGGGTCTTGCTGCTCTCAAGCGATCTCTGAGGAGCCACTGCGCGCTCTAGAGCAGTTGCAGCGAAGCGTCGCGCGCACCGGCCGCTGGTCGCAGGAGGCGCGTTGCGAGGCCGTTGCCGTGCGCTGCTCCGGATGCGGCCCGAGGTCTGTTGCGAAGCCGCACGCTCGTCTGCTGCTATAGCCGGGCGGCTCTGCAATGAGCGTGCGAGGCCACACCTTCTACTCGTATGCAGTCTCGCGCTCGGACAGCCTACTGACATTCTTGTCCCGTGTGCAGAAGGGCTTCCCGGATGAGACGCCCGCGCTGCAGCCGGCGCTGGAGAAGTACTTTGCTCAGTTCGGCCGCGTCAACGTCGTGCGCATGCGCCGCGACGCCGCGACGCGCGCCTTCAAGCACAGCGTCTTCATCGAGTTTGCCGAGTTTGCCGAGATGGAGAAGTTTGTCGCGCTCGGCAAGCTGCCTGACGATGCGCCGGAGCACCCCAAGTGGGAGGACGGCACGCCGCTCGTGCTCATGACCAAGTGAGTGCTGCGCGGCAAGCGCCAGTGTGGGCCCTGCTGACCGCGTTCGGCGCGCAGGGAGGACTACTGCCAGATGAAGATGGTCGAGAAGGGCATCGACCCCTCGACGATGAACCGCGGCAGCGGCTCGGGCTCGCAGAAGATGTCCAACGCCGGCCCGCGCTTCAACGCGTTCAAGGAGCTCGAGCGCGAGGCGGCCGGCAAGCCCAACGCGCTCTCGGGCGCCGAGCGCGAGCGCAAGCCTAAGGTCGAGCAGCCGCCGAAGCCGAAGCGCGAGGACCCGCTCGAGATGGAGTTCAACGGCAAGAAGCTCACGACGCGGCCCGACGGCACCATCGACCCCGAGGACGTGGCCTTCCCGCACAAGAGCGTGCTGAAGTTCGAGGGCGCGGGCGAGAACGCCAACTGGAAGGACCTGAAGGTGAGTGCCGAGTGCAGAGTGCAGAGTGACGCCCCAGGCAGCAAGCTGACACCCGCACCGCGCAGACTGTCCTCATGGAGATGCACCCGACTGCCTTTGTCGAGTTCCCGGCCGGTGCGACGGAGGGCGCTGTGGGCTTCAAGGAGACGGTGGAGGATGAGAAGCTGCAGCAGATCGTGGACAAGGCGATCGAGATGGGCGGCAAGGTGCTGACCTGGTCGCGCGTCGACGGTGAGTGCCAGACCCCAGGGCGCCCATGCGCTCCCGCCGCTGACGCCCGCTCGCCAGAGGACCGCGCCAAGCAGTTCTACGTCGAGCGCGCCAACTTCCGCGCCAACTACCTGCTGGACATGCGCGAGAACGGCGGCGCCTCGAACGGCGGGCGCGACGGCGGCCGTGGCGGCCGGGGTGGACGGGGCGGGCGCGGCGGGCGCGGAGGTCGCGGTGGCGCGCGGGGCGGGCGTGGCGGCGGACGCGGAGGGCGCCGCGACGGCGGCGACGGTGCCAAGCGTGAGCGCGACGACAACGCCTCGGAGCGGCCGGCCAAGCGCCGTGCCGTCGACGCCGGCGACCTCGTCGGCTCGGGCGCCAGCGCCGCACCGCCGACGATCGGCAGCGCCAAGGCAGAGTGAGCTGAGCGCGTGCGCCTGCTCCGGCACTCAAAATGCTCGCTGTTGCACCACGGACCCAACAGGCTAGACGACTCTGTACATTTTCTCGGGCGTCCCTATTATTCATGACTCGCTAGAGCTGCGCATGGTGTGTGTGTGTGTGTGTGTGTGTGTCGGTGACGTAGTAGGATCGTGCTGGGTGGTGCGCGAGAAGCGCTTTTGAGGCGTGCCTAGCCCTTGCGCAGCATGTCGCGGAATGCGTCCTGCCCCTTGGGCGCCGCGTCGACGTCCATGGGGGCCGACTGCGCAGGGCGAGACGAGCTCGCCGCCGCGCCAAAGCCGAGGCCGCCGCGTGCGCGCCCACGGCCCCGGCCCCGGCTGGCGAGGCGCGGCGCGAAGCCCGCAGCGCTGCCCGCCTCGAGCAGGGACAGGCCGAGCGGCGTGCCCTCGTACGCGAGCTCTGGCAGCATCGAGATGCGGCCGGCGGTCTGCGGAGCTCGTGTCAGCTCGCGAAGCGTGGACGCATGGCATGCGCGCACTCACTGCGGCATCGCGGAAGACGACCGTCGCATAGCCCTTGCCCTCCTCGCCCGGCGTCCAGTCGACGCGCTGCACACTGCCGGGGCCCTCAGCCTCGTGCTCGAACAGCTGCTGGATCTTGGCCTCTTGGGCGTCGTGCGGCAGGCCGCTGACCTTGACGGCGCGGGCGCGCTCCGCGAAGCCGAGGTGCGGGCGAGCGTTGCTGGCGTTGATGCCGGCGCGCACCTTGCTCTGCTGGAGGGCCACACGCACGGCCTTGCCGCTGATGCGCGCATCGGCAAGCTCTGCCACGGCACGCTGGGCATCAAGCACGCTCTGCATGTCGACGAACGCCAGGCCGCGGTTCGAGCCGTCCGGGTTGAGCGGGACACGCACGTCGCCGACGGCGTCGCCGAACGGCGCCAGCAGAGCGCGCACATCCTCGAGGCGCGCGGCGCGCGGCAGGCCGGAGATGTACAGCTGACGGTCGCTTGCGTGCTCGTCGGAGCGCACCTGCCGGCGTGCAGGGTCCGACATGAGCACCTGCAGCTTGTTCAGCTGGCTCAGCTGCCGGCCATGCAGCTCGAGAGCAGCACGAGCTGACTCCTGCAGGAGGCATGGCGGTAAGTAGGGATCCATCGCGGCAGGGCGGCGAACTCACCGGCAGAGCGTAGGAGACGTAGCAGAAGCGGCGGCTCGTGGCGATGCGGCGGCTGGGCCAGCGCACGTCGAAGATCGTGCCGTACGGTGCGAACAGCTCGCGGATTGCTACGTCGTCCGTCGTCTCTTCAAAGTTCGTCACGTACAGCGTGCACTCCCATCCGAGGTGCACCCGCACCTCGTGGCCGCGCACGCGCTTGAGATCGCGCGTGCGGGCTCCGGGAATGGACTCGCGCGCGGCGAACTCAACGAGCGCAGCGGCTTCGTTGCCGAAGACGCGCACGTCCGGCGCCTCGAAGAACGCGCCGCAGTCCTTGAAGAGCGAGACGAGGTCGTCGGCGGTTGCGTCCGGCGGCAACCCGGCCACGATAACGGCACAGTTCTCGCGGTCGCTGGTGGAATGCAGCGTCAGTGCTCCTCCAGCGGCGCAGTTCCGCTCGACTCACCGCTTCGGGGCCTTGGGCGGCGCCTCACGCGACACCTTCTGCGCCGGCTCCATCGTCTCGTCGTCGGCCTTGCGCTTCGAAGAGCTGGCTTCCGGCTGCGCGGCGCTGGAGTCGTCCGCTGCACTTGGCTCGGTGGCATCGGTCATGGAAACGTCAGCCGGAGCAGCGGGTGCAGCCGCGGCGGCCGGTGCCGCAGCCTGCTGGGCGTACGCCTCGTACTGCAGATGGAGTCAGCAAGGCCGGCGCGGCGCGTAGGCGCGAAACTCACCCAGGCTTCCCACTGGCGCTCGCGCTCGGCACGTCCGCGTGCCCGCGCGTATTCCACCTCGGCGGCCGAGCCGTAGATCTGCTCAAACTCGAGCCAGACACGCAGCAGCTCGTCCTTTGGCGCGACGTTTGCGCGGCTGGCGGCCATCTTGAAGAGGCCGCGCGCCTGCTTTGCGTCGCCGACGCGCATCCAAAACTGCGCCTCGGCGAGCCACGCAGCGGCGTTGGTCGGCTGCGCCGCACGTGCAGCCTGCCAGATCTCCGCGGCAAGAGCGCGCGTGGCATCTCCGCCGGCGTCGGCCCAGTCGGCGGCGAGGCGCTCGAGACGCAGGGCCGCGTCCGGCGGCTGTACGAGCGAGATGCAGTACGAGATGAGGCCGTACACGTCCATGAAGCGCTCGCCGTCGCGCGGCAGCAGCGCCATGGCCTCGGCCGGCTCGCATCCCTGCGCGGCGGCGAGGGCGACAGCTGCGCCCTCACGCTCGGCGTCGATGCGCGCCACGAGCAGCTCAATCTGTGCATCGGACGACAGCAGTCCGCTGGCGACAGCCGTGGAGAAGACGTCGTCGAGCTGCGTCTTGCTGCGCCGCTGCCGGGCCAGTGCACGCAGGTATGTGCCCCACAGAGCGCCCGATGCGGGAAGCGCTCGGGTCGCGCGTGCACAGGCGTCCAGAACCAACGTGCCCGACACGCGCGGGCTGCTCTGAAGCGAAAAGGCACGTCAGCACAAGCCAGGCCGGTCTCGAGAGATGACTCACGAGCGCCCAGCAGTACTCCTCCCACACGCCCTGCGCCTCGCTCCACTTGCGCTGCAGCTCGGCCTCCTCGGCCTCCTCTCTTGCTTTCCACGCGCGTCCGCCGATCCTCCGGCGCTCCTTGCGCTGCTCCTCGTCGCGCTCGGCGCTCGCAGGCACAGCCTCGCCGCCCAGCGCCTGAGGCAGGCCCAGCGTCGCAAGTGCACGCTCGTACGTGGCGCTGATAGCGTCGATGTGCGCGTGCGGCGGGCGCAGAGCGCCGACATGCCGCAGGTATGGCCGCCACGACGGCAGCGCATCCTCGAAGGGCGTGAGCTCGGCGTAGGCCGCTCGCGGCGCGGCGAGCGACGCAGAGGCACTCGACATCGTCTTCTCGTAGACGTCTGCGGGCATGTACGTTGAAACAAAGGAGGAGAAGCGCTCGAAGGTCGCTTGCAGGTCTGCGAAGCGGCGAGTCAGGGACAGTGTAGCGTGCTGTCTTTGGCAGGCTCACCGTGATGCGGCTGGCGCATGCGCGCCGCGAACATGGCGCGCACTGCCTCGACGCGCTCCGACGTCCGGTCGCGCGCGAGGTGCAGTAGCTCGAATGTGAGGAACTGGTTCCAAACGACCTGAGACTGCAGTGATGCTGGTCAGCCGTTGCTGTCCTGCACTCAATCGGACCGGGTTGGCCTGCGTGCATTGTGGCACTAGCGCCCAGCCAGGAGCTGTCCGTTTCGCGCTCACTCACCTGGCGCACGTCGCCGGCGACGCGGCTCCACCACTCTCGCATGCGTGTGCGCACGGCCTCCTCGCCGAGCAGCTCCTCGAGGCCCGGCTGCGCCGGCTGCGGGCGCGGCAGGCTGGCGCGCCGCCATCCGGCGGGGCCGAGCAGCGGGCCGTGCGCGATGCCGAGCCAGTGCGCCAGCGGGTCGCGCACGAGCGGCGCCGGCGGCGGGGCTTCGCCCTCGTCATCGTCGTCGTCGGGCTGCAGGCCGGCCCAGGCGTAGTGCGCGGCTAGCAGCGCCGACACGGCGGCGGCAAAGGCGGGCGCATACAGGCGGCTGGCGCCCGACTCGTGCGTGGCAGCGTCGAGGACGTCGAGCGCGGCGAGCAGCGCCTCGGGCGAGTACGCGGCGCGCAGGGCGTGCAGTGCGAGTGCGGAGCGCAGCGAGACGTGTGCGTGCGGCAGGGCGAGGCGCGCGGCCGTGTCGGCGAGGGCGGCGCGCAGGGCATGCGTCGGCGCCTCGTCGGCGGCGCCCTGTGCCGCACGCACGGCGCTGCAGAGGGCGCGCAGGCGCAGCTGGTGGGCGCGCGGTGCGAGGCCCGGGTCGTCGGCGAGCGGCGCGGCGGCCGGCGGCGCAGGCGACGGCGACGGCGACGGCGAGCGGCTCATGGTGGATGTGGTGGAGCGGAGGCAGGCCGTGCGCACGGCTGCGCGAAGGCTCATCAAGAGGCGCGCGCTGTGCCGGCCGAGAGCGCCGCGCCGCGAACCCCGCCGCTCCGCCCCGTATCTCGCCTGGCCCCGCAGCGGGCACCCTGCCTCCGCACCACATCAATCGTCTCGCTGCCGCTGCTGCCGTCGCTGCCGCACTCTCTGCGCCCGCCATGGCTGCGCCGCTCTACAGTGCGTCGTGCCGCCTGCGCGCCCGCTGCGCCTGCCTGCTCACCCGCGCCTGCGCCCAGCCACGGCGTCCGGCCAGCTGTACCATGCGTGCGTCCTTCTCTCCCGCCTGCCCGCCCAGCCCACGCTGACGCCCATGCAGCGGCAAGATCCTCATCGCCACCGTCGGGCTGCCGGCGCGCGGCAAGACGCACCTCTCCCACGCCCTCGAGCGCTACCTGCGCTGGCTCGGCGTCAAGTGCGCCGTCTTCTCGCTCGGCGACCACCGCCGCGCCGTGCTCGGCGGCGCCGGCCAGGTGCCCGCCGACTACTTCCACAGCGGTGAGTGGCGCGGGCGCGCGGGCAGCGCGGTGCTGAGGCGGATCGGCAAGCACGGCTGGTGTGGTGCCTCAAGGCTCAGTGACGGCACTGACCAGGCTGGTCTGTGCGCCGGTGCACTCGCCGGGCTGGCATGACGGTTCGTCTCATTGGCCTGGTGCCTCAGAGGGCCAGCTGCGGCACTGGTCTGTGCGCCGAAGCACGTCTTGTTGGCCTGACTGGTCACCCCATCCGCCACTCTCGCCTACCTGCCTCTGACGCCCGGGCTCACTGCGCCCTGCAGGGCCCAAATCAGAGGAGACGGCGGCGCTGCGTGCGCGCATCCTGCGCTCCTTCGACGACAAGGTGCGCCAGTTCTACGCCGACGGCGGCCAGGTCGTCATCTACGACGCCAACAACGGCACCGTGGCGCGGCGCGACCGCATCCGCGAGGAGTTTGGCAAGGAGCTCGGCGTGCACGTCATGTTCCTCGGTGCGTGCCGCGCGGGCGCGGCGGGTGCCGGCGGCGAGGCCTGACGCTCTCCTCGCGCCGCGCAGAGAGCATCTGCACGGACCAGCGCATCGTCGAGGCCAACATCCGCAGCGTCAAGATCTCGAGCCCGGACGTGAGTAGGGCCACAGACGTCGAAATTGACGGATGTGTGCGATGCTCACGCTGCACACAGTACCTCGCATGGGACCCGGAGAAGGCCGTGGCCGACTTCAAGACGCGCATCAAGGGCCACGAGGGTGGGTCGCACTTCGCTGCAGCGTGCGCGCATCTGCTGACAGCAGCACAGAGCACTACGAGCCGATCGAGCAGCCGTCGTTCCCCTACATCAAGGTCATCAATGTGGTGCGTGTCTTGCCGTCTGCCTGTCTTGCCAGTCTGACACCCGCTGCAGGGCCAAAAGATCATCGTCAACAACATCCAGGGCTACCTGCAGTCGCGCATCGTCTTCTTCCTCATGAACATCCACAACCGCTCGCGCACCATCTACCTGGCGCGCGCGGGCGAGGCGCTCATCGAGCACCTGTACAAGGCCGATGCGGACCTGAGCAGTCTCGGCTGGGAGTACGCCGACCGCCTGGCCGAGTTCCTCGAGACGACGCGCAAGGCGGCCGCCGAGCGCTCCATCAAGGCAGCCAACGAGGGCCGCTTCACCGGGCGCGACGAGCCGGGCAGCGGGCCGGGCGAGGAGGGGCGCAACCTCGAGGTGCGTGATGCCGCTCGGCGCTGGTCGCTCGCTGCTCACGCGTTCTGCAGATCTGGACCTCGGCGCGGCGGCGCTCCTCGCACACGGCGCTGCCGTTCGCCGAGCGCGGCTACCGCGTCATTGAGCGCTCGCAGCTGAGCGAGATGAACCCGGGCGTCGTCGACGGCATGAGCGAGGACGAGATCCGGGCGCGGTATCCAGACGAGTGGGAGAAGAAGAAGGTCGAGGTGAGTGTCCTGCCGTGGCGCCTTGGCGTGGGCTGACACTCGCCTCAGCCCTACTCGCATCGCTTCCCGCGCGCAGAGAGCTACCACGACCTCTCGGTGCGTAACGAGCATGCCCCTGCCTTGGGCGTGGCTCACGAGTTCCCCTACAGATTCGTCTCGAGCCGATCATCTTCGAGCTGGAGCGCGCCTCCACAGACGTGCTCGTCGTCGGCCAGTCGTCGGTGCTTCGCTGCCTCATCGCGTACCTGCAAGTGAGTGCGCCGCGTCGGCACGCCCCGGCTCGCCGCTCTGACCACACGCAGGGCCTCAAACCAAACGAGATTCCCGCCATCTCGGTGCGCGAGGGCGAGCTCATTGTGCTCTCGCCGCAGGCGTATGGCACGGCGATGGAGAAGCTTGAGTGCGTTGCGAGCCGTTGACCGCCGTCATCGCCACGCTGACCCCGTTCCCAGATTCTGGGACCCCGTCGAGGAGCGCCGCAAGCGCGACGAGGCCATGGCGGCCGAGGACGACGACCTGCAAGGCACACCGCCGGCGACGCCGAGCCAGGAGCCGCAGCCGCTGGCTGCCTGATCAGAGGCGCAGACTGGACGGGGGCAGGCGGCGCAATAGAATGTACAGTATGAACTCAGCAAGGAGGACGCTGCATGAGTAGCCGGTGTTTCGAGGTGATTGAGACGGCGTCTGGCTGCTTGGAAGCACGTGGCGGCGCGTGCACAGCATGCGGGCACGCAAGGCAGGCCTGTCCTGCGAGGTGCTCCTCGCGAGCCGCAGGCGTGCTATCTGGTCGCTACTACACTCTGCGACGGTGGAGCCGCTGCGAACACCCTTGAGCAGCGTCCGTGTGTGTGCAGCCAGAGCTCGCAAGCTGGGTGCTTTGGTCGAGTGCCGCGAGGCAGGACTGGGCCTCACTTGCAGATGCAGAGCCTGTGGCAAGCTACTCGCCGCGTTAGTCCGCTCCATCAGCCAAGTCCTGGTGCCAGAAGTGACGCAGCCTCAGGGTGCGGAGCGCTCACGGTGCGGCCGTCAGCGAGGCGTCGTGAGACAGCTTCACTGCCGTTCCGCCTCGCATGGACGACCACGCCGACCTGAGGCTTGCTGCGCCACCTGGCCCATGACAGCATCCCAACGCGCGCCGCAGCTCCAGCACTGGAGTGCTGGGCGACAGAGGTGCGGCAGGAGCAAGCTCTGGCTGCCTGGCGCAGGCGCGAGCGCACGATGTGTCAGCGCGGCCTCCTCGGACGCATTCAGCGTCGCGCAGACGGAGCGTCATGACGCTCGCGGCGTCACTAGCAACGCAGCGGGCTCAACGAGATGTATTGCAGACGTCGCAAGAGACGAGGACGTGAATGCGACTGATTTGCACCCGGCTGTCCTCCGTCGCCCGGGCAGCGCCGCAGCGCCGGGCTGTCATGCGTGCGCTCTCTTTGCCCGCGCTTGCTGTGGGAACGCAAGAGGCGCGAAGAGAAGGAGCAAGGCGAGCACGGCGCAGCGGGTGTCGCGAAGGAGCGCCCGAGCGCCGCAGCGCACAGCGAGGGTCCTTGGGGCGGCGATGGTGGGGGTCAGGAAGGAGCCTGGTAAGGGTGCTGAGTGCCAGCGGCGGCGGCCCCTGGGCCAGCCCCCAGCGGCGACACGCGGCGCGCGGCGTGCGGCGCCCCGCGGAGGCGCTGGGTGCCGCTGCGGCGGCTGCCTCTCTGCCGTCTCGCGCTTGCGGCGCCACTTGTCCCGTCCCGCCTCGCCTCGGCTCGGCTCCGCTCGCCTCTGCGAAGACCCTGACGCTTGGCTCGCCAGCCGTCGGGGCGGAGCATGCTGCTCGCTGCGGCCCGCTGCCGCTGCTGCCATTGGCCGGCCGCCGTGCGCCTCGTGCAAGCTGCCGCGTGATGAGGGCAGCGCGACTCTGACGAGCGAGTGCTCCCCGCACTCTCGACCCGTAGCGCTGCAGTGTCTAGTTGAGTCTGAGTGAGATGCGAATCTAGACAGCGCACAACGAGGCGCAGTCCGCTCCTTGCCGGCTGGCGCCTGCCGAGCGTGCCCCATGCGCAGCGGTACACACGCAAAGGCGCCCGGCAGTCTCGGCGGCGTGCGGCCCATGGCGTCGCGGCTCCACAGCGGCGTGGCCCGGCGCCGGGCATGGCGGGTTCGCTGGCCGGCACTGGCCGCAGGGCGTCGTGCGTTCTGATACGCGCTGCAGTGCGCTGGCAGTGGACACAATTCGGCCCGGTATGAAGGCCAAGGCTGAGCGCTTGTGCACGAGATCTGAGAGCACCGCGGAACAGGGCCACGCAGGCGCAGTGCGGAACTCGTCGGCAGCAAGAGGGTCCCTCGGTCATGCGCTGACGCTCAGCGATCCGAGCGTCCCGCTACTGCCTCGCTGTCCCGTCCCGTACCTCGCTGTCCCCTGGCTGAGCTCAACGACACCGTGGCATGACCTGCCGCGCATCACTCGACGACACCTCACCAGCAAGCAAGCTCACCGCACAGCCACGCATGGTTAGAGGTACATCAGATTGTGTGTGAGAGCCGTCGATGCATGTGGTGCGCGTGAATGGACAAAAGAGTGACGGGGAGCGCGAGGAATCGCAACGCCAGCCCCCTTTTTAGCGCGCACCGGCAGCCTGGGCCTGCGCGACGGCCGGGTTGATCTTCTTGCCGTCCTTGTTGTAGCGCACGCGCACGGGCGGGTCGCGGTTGCGGCGGCCCTCGCGCGAGCGCACGCGCACAATGTGGGCGTGGATGGCGCACGAGATGCAGTAGTGGATCTTGAGGTACAGCTTGGGCAGCGCGTACTCTGCGGAGCGGCGGTGGCATGAGCGCTGCTCGGGAGCGTGCAGCGGCGATGGCCATCGAGGCGCAGCAGACGCAGCGGGCATGCGCAGAGGCATGGCGGTGCGTGCCGCGGTCCGGCCACATGCCGGTGCCGCAAGCGCATGCCGTCCCGACGACCTGACGCCCTACGTAGCCCTGACGCCCTACGCAGCCCTGACCGCCTCTTCTTGCCTGCACACTGCCTGGTGACCTGCCAACGTTCTCCTCGTGCCTCTGTGCTGCCTCGCGTCCTTTTGCCCTCCTTTGCTTTCCCTCCGCTTTGCGCTCCTCTCCATGGCACTCACCAGCGTACACCGAGGCGTCGCTCAGGTCACGGACGGCCGCGGACTCGACGATGTTGCGCACCGTGAACCGCTTGATGGCCTTGTCCTTGGGCTGCATGCGCGCACGACACCATTGAGCATGCGCTCACTCAGCCCTGCCGCACCACGGCGCTACTCACACACATGCGCGAGCAGTTGGAGCAGCGGATGCTGGCCGTCTTGCCGCGACCCTTGTTGCCGGAGCGGCCGCCATCTGCGCAGCAGACGCACGGTCAGCGCCTCACTCTCCGAGGCGCACCCTGCCCGCCGCGCCGATACTCACTTCTTCTCTTCTTCGTCCTGTGGCGCACGGCGTGTCAGCGATGCAGCGCACGGCGGGCGCGGCGGCGGCACGCACATGATGGGCTTGAGGTGTTGAGGAAGTGGTGGAGACGGACGGTGGGCGGACGAGGAGCGGCGCGCTGTGAGTCATCGAGCGTGGGCGGCGCTGCGTGAGCGACGCTGGGCAGCGCTGCCGCGCGCGCGAAGACAGGACGGGCGCGTCACGTGGCGCGCTCTCGCGCTATAGCCGAGGTCCCGTCCCCCCACCACGGCGACGCAGACGGCGCGGCGGCTGGGCGCAGCGGCACGGCGCGCGCCGCAGCCTGGCTCTGTTCCCACGCCTTCGTCCCGGCCCCTGCCGCCCCGCAGCGCCCCACCGCAAGGCCACCCTTCAGCTCGGTTGCACAGGGCTGCCCCGACGCATGAAGCTCTGCAGCAGGGCACACGAGATGGTGGCTAGTCGGCGCAGCAAGTCCCGCGGTCAGAGCAGGCGCAGGGACCTGCCCTGCGGCAGCGTGAGCCGCGACGCCTGTGCGCCTCAAGGCGAGCGAGCCTGCTCGATCTGGCCTGCCACACATCGCCCTCGGTGAAGCAGCAGCAGGCAGACAATGGACGAGTCATGCGCCCGATGAGCGGTCGACATCGCTGCCCCCGGTCATGCGGTGACGTTTGCGGCGCGGCGTGCGTGCGGCGCGACCCACCACCCAGCGAGGACAAAGGAGCCCGGCGCGGCGGGCTCGTCCATCGCGCCCGCTGCCGGACAACCTCGGACAGCCGGCAGCGCGCGTCGTCCTTTGTGCTCGTCTGCGGCTCACTCTACGCTCGCAAGCCCTAGCATCTAGGACAAGGGCTCGGCGCAGTGTGCCGCTGCTTCCTTGTCCTGCCCCGGCCCGCGCGACACATATAAAGACGGGCGCCGTCGTGGAGCAGGCGACGGCATCGCCTCTTTCTCGCCTCGACCTACACGCCCTGCACGCACCCACGCTCTCTTCTGCAAGACACGCACCTTGCGCATTCTCGCTCGCCCCGGAGGCTGGCTCGCACCATGGTCGCACCCTCGGCACTCCGCTTCGTCGGCCTCAACTTCCTGCGCCTCGTCTCCGTCAGCAGCCTCATTCTCGTCTTCGCGGCCGTGATCGACATCATGGTGCTCGATGCGCGCGCCATCAAGGCGCTCAGCGCCGACGAGAGGACGCAGGCGCTCGAGGAGTGCGACTACTTTGGCGACACGAGCGTGCCGACGCACGTCTGGGGCCTCTTCTGGGTGCAGCTGCAGCGCTTCTTTCTGCTGCTGCTGCTCATTGCCTGCTTCTGCTCCGGTGAGTGGCTTGCGGGAGAGGGCTCGTCGGAGGCTGACGCTGGCGCACAGAGATCAACTGGGGCGGCCTTGCCGAGCGCTTCTTCAGCTACAACGTTCCCATCCTCGGCAGCGGCTTCTCGACTGCGCCTCTCGGACTTGTGCAGATGATGGTGCGTGCCAACGCGACGGCAAGCGAGTCATTGCTGACAAGCGCTCTCCAGATCGGTGCCTCGCTGCTCTCCACGTATCTCTGGCTCTTCCCGCTCGTCTCTGCCTGGCTCCTCTTCTTCTGCGGCTTCTTCAACGTCGTGTCCGGCATGATCTTCCGCGCTCCCGGCCGCGACATGCGCTCCATCCTCGCAAGCCGGCGCAAGCGGGTCGCTGCGCCCAAGCCTCGAACGACGCCGCCTGCGATGAGCAGTCTGGCGAACCTCGGCGCCTCGGCCGTCGACAAGCTGCGCCGCAAGCCGGTCACACCCCGCAAGGCATCCGCTGCCGCGCCGCCGGTGACGACGCGCGAGCTCAACTCGTTTCCCTCGCTCGAGACCGTCTCGCACGCCGAGCTGCTGCGCCAGCGTGCGCGTGAGGCCAATCTGCGTGCCGAGCGCGAGGAGGAGGCGCGCGAGCGCCGCGTGCGCGAGCTGCGCGAGCTCATGGCCCTCGACGACGCCCAGGAGGCGGCGGCGGACAAGGACCTGGAGCGCGGCCTCAGCGATGCGTCCGAGTGGAACGAGGCGCACGGCCTGCCCTTCCCACGCACCGCCGAGATGGCGCGGCAGCAACAGGCCGAGCTGGCGCAGCGCCAGCAGCCGAGCACATCGGCAAGCAAGCCGGCCGCGCCCACGCAGGGTGCCGCCGCCGACGCCGGCACCGTGGCGCGCGCCCAGGCCGGCGCCAATGCCGATCTTGAGCCGTGGCGGCGCAGCACGCACAGCGCCAGCTCCAAGAAGCGCCGTGCTGCCGCAGGTGGCCTCAGCGGCGCGCGCGAGATCGCTGCCCGAGGCACCGCAGCGGTGCGCCGCCGCAGCCTCGTCCTCTCGCGTCACCTTCGCGAGCTGCGTCTCGGCGCCGCTCCCAAGGCCCGCAAGAACGCCGCGCCGCCGCTGCCCAAGGCTCCACACATGCGCGTCGCACCCTCGCCCGGCGCCGCCTCGGCCTTCTCGGCGCAGTCGCACTACGCCTCGGCGGACGTAGCGAACCCGGACGACGACGACGACGATGACGACCAGCTGATCTTCGTCGGCGCGCCGCCGCTGCCAGCATACGTGCCCGGCGGCACGCGCATCGTGCGTGCCGACATCGAGCACACGCGCGACGACGCCCCGGTGCTGCCCGTCGCCAAGCAGTGGGCATCCGAGTGGGCCTCGGCGCCGGCACTGCCGTCCGAGCGTGCCCAGCACAGCGTCACGCGCAAGGCCGTGCCCCGCCGGCATATTCCCTCCTCCGGCCCACCGATCTAGGCACTCGCCGCTCGACGCTTGCATACCCACGCCTCGCTCCACGCCTCTCTGCCTCACGATACCCCGTAGACAATGAATGCGCCTTGTTGAGAAGCGTGTGCTGGTGATACATGCAGGATGAGTGATGACGGGAAGAATCGCGGAACGATGATAAAGGAACGATGAGAGAGAGACGTGGCCACGACGGGGAATATGGCGCAACTAGGTCAGGCGCACGGGACATCCGTCTGGTGTTGAAAAGACGGGGCCGCTCGCGCGCGGACACACGGCGTTGCAGGCGGGGGCGGCGGCGACGCGCTTAGTAGCGGTAGTGGCCGGCCTTGAAGGGGCCCGCGAGCGGGAGGTCGAGGTAGTCGGCCTGCACCTGCGTCATCTTGGTGAGCTTGACGTTGAGCTTCTGCAGGTGCGCCGTCGCGTTCTCCTCGTCGCGCTCCTTGGAGAGGAAGTACACCTTGCCCTGCTCGTACACCTTGTTGTCGGTGTTGTTGGCCCAGAGCTCGATCTGCGCGAGCGTCTGCGCGACGAACGAGAAGCTCATGATGAACGACGGGTGGCCCGTGCCGCAGCCGAGGTTCACGAGGCGGCCGTCGGCGAGGAGGATGATGTGGCGGCCGTTGGCGAGCGTGTAGCGGTCGACCTGCGGCTTGATGTTGATGCACTCCTTGGCGTTGGCCTTGAGCCAGGCGACATCGATCTCAATGTCGAAGTGGCCGATGTTGCACACGATGGCGTCCTCCTGCATGGCCTCGAAGTGCTTGGCGGTGATGATGTCGCGGCAGCCCGTCGTGGTGACGAAGATGTTGGCAATCGAGGCGCAGTCGTCCATCGTGTTGACCTCGTAGCCGGCCATGGCGGCCTGCAGCGCGTTGATGGGGTCGATCTCGGTGACGATGACGCGCGCGCCGTAGCCGCGCAGCGACTCGGCGCAGCCCTTGCCGACGTCGCCGAAGCCGGCGACGATGGCGACCTTGCCGCCGAGCATCACGTCCGTGGCGCGCTTGATGCCGTCGACGAGCGACTCGCGGCAGCCGTAGTAGTTGTCGAACTTGCTCTTCGTCACGCAGTCGTTGACGTTGATGGCGGGGATCTTGAGCGTGCCGCGCTTCATGGCCGTGTAGAGGTGGTGCACGCCGGTCGTCGTCTCCTCGGAAACGCCCTTGATGTCGGCGAGCAGCTCGGGGTACTTCTCGTGGATCATCCACGTGAGGTCGCCGCCGTCGTCGAGGATCATGTTGAGCGCCTTGCCGTCGGGGAACGCCTTGAGCGTCTGCTGGATGCACCACTGGTACTCCTCCTCCGTCTCGCCCTTCCAGGCAAAGACGGGCACGCCCGTCGCGGCAATGGCGGCGGCGGCGTGGTCCTGCGTGCTGAAGATGTTGCACGAGGACCAGGTGACCTGGGCGCCGAGGGCGACGAGCGTCTCGATGAGCACGGCCGTCTGGATCGTCATGTGCAGGCAGCCGGCGATGCGCGCGCCCGCAAGCGGCTTCTCGGCGCCGTACTTGGTGCGCAGGGCGATGAGGCCGGGCATCTCGGCCTGGTGGAGATGTGAGTGAAGTGCGGCGCGGCAGGGTGTGTGGTGCAACGCACCTCGGCGATCTCGATCTCCTTGCGGCCGAAGGCGGCAAGCGAGATGTCGGCGACCTGCGCGGCGGGTGAGTGGCGGCACGGTGCAAGCATGCTGCAGCGGCACACACCTTGTAGTTGTTGGACATGATGGGCAGGGGTGTTGTGGGATGTGGTGGGTGGGAAGGGTGAGGCGCGGCGGCGTGGCGTGCGCTGGAAGATGCGCTTCTCGCGCTGCCGAGCGAGCGCCGCACCCGAAGACCGCCCCGGCACCTCGCCTGTGTGTGCTGGCAGCCCGCTTCTGCATCTTCCAGCTGCGCTCGAACCACGATTTTCTCGCACGGGCGCGCGAACGTGCGCCAGGGTTCGGCCCGGTCACGTGCAGCCGCCCTCGGGGCATGGCGGTGCCGTGCCCCCGGGCCCGTCGTGGCGGGAGCGTAGGCGGCACCGACAGAGCTGCAAGAGCCTCAGCAGGGCCGCGCGAGCTGCTGCCTGTGCCGTGGCTGGGCGTGACAGCGAGAAGGAAGACGGCGAGATGAGGCCGGTTCACGGCGTGGCCGGCTCTCAGAGGGCGCAGCTCGGAGCTCGAGAGGAGCCTGACGTCCGCACGACCGCTCTGCGAGGTCACAGCTCGCTTCTTCTGCTTGGCCTGACCCGCTGTACGCTGGCCGTGCCGGGCGCGCTGGCCTCTCGTCGCGAGCGGGGTGGTCTGTGCGCCGATGCTGCCGCCGACGTCGCTCCCAGCAGGCCGGCCAGCAGGTGCAGGCGCTCATCGCACGCCCAAAACGCAGCCTTTGCCCCACCATGCTCGCTGGGCGAGGCTTCGTTCTGCCTTCTGCTACCCGCTCGCTGCGTGCTGTCGAGCGAGAGACGAAGAGGCGATGGTGTGCAGCCTGCTGCTGCTCAAGCGCTCTCGACTGGCCGCGCTCAGGGGCCGCGAGCCTCCGTGCGCCGGCGTGCTGGCCACGTGCCTCCACCGCCCAGCGCATAGACGCCGCACTCGCCGGCGAAGGGGCGCCGCCAGCGCATCAGCATCGCAAGAACGACGAAGAGAGCGCTTGCTTCTCTCGGCACTGCGAGATGCTGCATCTCGGCTGACGGCTGCTTGAGAGGATGCTCGTGGTGCTGCGGAGGAGAGGACGAGGAGGGCTTGCTCTCCACGCAGGTGTGGAGAGCGAGAGCTGGGCCGCGGCAGGGCGCCGCGCCGCGCTGACACCGGCGGTGTGCCGAGGAGCAAAGCCGGGGCGGCGGAGGGCGCAGCGCCACGCGCGGCCGGCGGGCAGCTTGCAAGCAGCGGCGAGCGTCGGCGCAGCGGCTGATGACGCGCGACGCCGCCGCCCGCAGACGCAACATCTCGGCGCGCGGAGACGGCCGGGCGCGTGGCAGCCTCGCGCCGCCATCGCCTGGACGTCCCGAGGCGAGATAGCCAAAGATGGAGGCTTGAGCTGTGGTGATGCTGTGCTGTTCAAGGTGGCACGGGTGTCTCTGGCGGCGTGCTGCGAGGCTGAGGAGCGGCGCTGCTGGGCGCGCGCGCCTGTGCACTCCACACGCTGGCGGCGCCTTGCGCTGCTGGCGGGCGGCGTGCCGCGCATCTCCGCATCGCCGCCGGCTGCCGGGCCTCGCCGTCGGCTGCGGCTGCGCCTGCGAGCTGCTCGCCTGCGTCGCCTCGCTGCTCTGCTCGCGCACATCCCTCGCTCAGGCCATCCACCGCACCACCACCTCACCCCCCGCACCCGCCATGCCTGCCGACGCCGCACCCGCTGCTGCCGCGGCGCCCGACGCAGCGCCCGGCTCCGCCGCCAGCGCCGACGAGCTCGCCGCCGCGCCCGAGGCCGTGCAGATGACCGACGAGGAGGAGCTCAGCGCCGCGGGCGGCGGCGACAACAGCGACAGCAGCAAGCTCAAGACGCTCATGGGCATCCTCAAGCGCATGGTCGGCGTCAAGGACATTGCCGCCATGTAAGTGGCACGGCGAGGCGCCGCGAGAGCAGGCGCAGCGCTGCAGGCGCGAGGAGAGGCGCTTGGCGGCAGGCAGGGCCGAGGAGCAGCAGCGAGGTGTATGCGTCGGTGTGGCAAGCGGTGTGCCGCCAGTGCACGCCTCGGTGCACTGCAGGCCTGCTCTCACTCTGCGCACATGCCCTGCCCCGTGCTGACGCCGCTGCAGCCGCCTCTCGCTGCCGGCGAACCTGCTTGAGCCGGTGCCAAACCTCGAGTACTGGAACTACCTCGGTGAGTGCGCCGCACTGCGCTGCCGTGCCCGTGCCGTGCTCACATATGCGCTGCGCACCAGACCGCGGCGACCTCTTCACCACGTACGTGTGCTGCATCTAGCGCACGCTCCTGGCGCTTACGCGAGCGCCTCCACAGCATCGCCGAGTCCGAGGACCCGCTCGACCGCATGCTCGCGGCGCTGCGCTTCACCTTCACCAAGGAGCTCAAGTTTGTCGTGAGTGCAGCAGCGCATGCCCTGCCGCTCCTGCGCTGATGCCTCTCCTGCAGCACGGCAAGATCTGCAAGCCCTACAACTCCATCCTCGTAAGTAGCGCGTGCACGCTAGACGAGCTCGCGGCTGAGCGCCTCTGCGCAGGGCGAGCACTTCCGGTGTCACTGGGACGTCGAGCCGCCGGCGCTGACCGAGGAGGGCGACCTGCTGCCGCGCATGGCGCTGCGCGTTGCCGACCCGCGGCCGCTGCAGCAGGCCTCCTCAGGCTCGGCCGCGGCGGGCGGGCCCAAGAAGAAGCTGAGCGGCAAGGCGGCACGCCAGCAGCAGGCAGCAGCTGCGCCCGTCGAGGCGCCCGCACGGACGTCGGCCCGCACGTCGGCCGAGGGTGCCGTGCCGCCCAGCAGCGCGGCGTCGAGCGCCGGCAAGCTCAGCCGGCCAGGTTCGGTGCGCGGCGTCAGCACGGCGAGCGCCGCGACGACGACGAGCACGAGCACGACGGAGGATGTGGCGCACAAGGCCAAGAAGGGCCTCAGCAAGCTGCTCGGCCGCAGCCACCGCAGCGGCGGCGGCGATGCCGGCTCGGCGGCGGCCACGCCGGCTGCCACGCCGGCAGTGGAGAAGACGCAGGCGCAGGCCACTGCCGTGCCGGCGCGGATACCCGAGGGCCGCTCGACGGACGGCGAGGACGAGGATGAGTTCGACGACGCGGCGTCGCAGGCCGGCTCGTTCAAGACGACGCACAGCGAGGCCGAGGCGCTGCCGCAGCTCGAGGCGGGCAAGCGGCGCATCACGTTCCTCACCGAGCAGGTCTCGCACCACCCGCCGATCTCGAGCTTCTTCGTCGAGTGCAAGCAGGCCGGCGTGCAGCTGTGCGGCGTGGATCAGCTGAGCGCCAAGTTCACGGGCACTGGTGAGTCGCGCGCGCGCGAGCATCGCAAGTCATGCCTGTGCTGACGCGCGTGCCTGCAGCGGTGCGCATCTTCTCGGGCGAGCAGAACCAGGGCATCTTTGTGAAGCTGCTCGAGAACGCGCGCGGCGGGCCCGCGGGCGAGGAGTACCAGATTACCCACCCGACGGCCAGCGTCAACGGCCTGCTGCGCGGCTCGCTCTGGGTGGCCATCTGCGACACGACGAGCATCACCTGCCGCGGCGGCCGGCGCGAGGGCGAGGAGGCCGAGGGCCAGGGCCCGCGGCTGCGCACGCTCGTCGAGTACAAGGATGAGGTGCGTGCTAGCGTGACACGGCTTGCAGTGGCCGTCAGCTGACGCGCCGTGGCAGAGCTGGGTGATGAAGGCCAAATACGCGCTCGAGGCCGTCGTGTACGAGTACGACGAGAGCAAGGGGCAGGCGGCCGAGGAGTACAAGCGCATCCGCGACGTGCCGCAGGACCGCGTCGTCGCGACGCTCGAGGGCACGTGGAAGGGTGCCATCACGTGGAAGCGCAAGGGCGACAAGGTGTGTAGCACAGGCACGCCCTGCTGCGCGCGAAGCTCACGCCTCTACAGGACGCGCGCCTGCTGATCGACCTCGACGAGCTGGAGCCGAGCAAGTGCGTCGTGCGCCCGCTCAAGGCGCAGCAGGAGATGGAGTCGCGCAAGATCTGGGAGCCCGTCACCAACGCCATCATCGCCAAGGACTACAGCGGCGCGACGAAGGCCAAGCAGGACATCGAGCAGAAGCAGCGCGACACGGCGGCGGAGCGCAAGCGCAAGGACGAGTCGTGAGTGGTGCGGTGCAGGCGTTGCCGGTGTGCGTCGTCACTGACCCTGCCGCAGCTTTGTGCCCGTCTTCTTCGACGCCGACATCTCCGACGGCCGGCCGCGCCTCACGGCCGAGGGCCGCAAGGCGCTCGACGGCGAGGGCATGCTGGACGGCTACGAGTGAGCGTGCGCGAGAGGTCGCAGGCTCTGCTACCGGGGTCCTGGCAGGCGTGCGTGCTGCCCGGCCCCTCTTATTCCCCCCGCCTTCCTCCTTCATCTCCCCTGGACCTCCCGTGTGTCCGCAATGCTGCCGCTGCATCGAGCCTCTCTCTCTCTCTCTCCCTCTTAAACCGCCTGTGTGACCCTTTCCGTGACGCCCACGCAAGCCATGCATCCCTTCCGCGGCCTGCAGCTGTGCCTTCCGCATTCACGTCTCTCATGATGACGTGCAGCCGTGCGGGTAGGCAGCAACGCTTGGTCCTCACGAGAGCAGCTCGGCGCAGCTTGTGGTGCATCGCAAGACGAGCAAGCGCCTGGCCAAGGCGGGCCGGAGAGGCACCGGCGGGCAGCGCAGCGTTCCCACGCTTCCGGGCCTGCGACCAGCCTCTGGTCGTGTCCCCCACCCCGCCTCGCCGGTGCTGTCAGCGTCGCATATGCGCCAGAATGACCTCCGAGTGGGCGCAGAATCGGCAGCCGCTGCTTCGGCAGTCCAGTGTGCCGTCTCAGCCGGCCCGATTGCCAGCATCAGCACCGAGCGCCGATCGTTCGTCGCGGCGGCCCTCGCGCGGCCTCGCTGCAAGCTCGGTGCACATCTCTTGTCCTCGTCGGCCCCGCCTGCCCTTGCTCTGTCCGCTGCACGGGCCCTCGTTTCGCACCAGAATTTGCCAGAGGGCGCCGCCGTTGTGCTCGTGCAATGCACACCTGCCCACCGCTGCAGCGCATCGCACGGCCTCGTGGTGACGGCCGGCGCCGATCCTCGACAGCACGCATGAACGCTGCCCAGCTCGAAACTCGCCGCCGCAGCGGCATCGCGTGGTCTCTTGGCACACACGGCCGTGGCTCGTGCCGCGAGATGCCAGCATTGACAGTGCCAACTCAGCCTCGCACAATGGGATGCGCTGCGTTGAGGTGCGGCGGCTGCGACGAAGGCTGGCTGGCTGGCCGGCGCTCAGGGTGCAAGCCGTCACTGCCCACGCCATGGCGGCGCCCAAGTGCCCTGTACCGGCCACTTTGGCGTGCGACGCTCGAGCGGATTGCGCATTTTGCCCCTCTCCAGGCACCTTGCCCGTGCTGAGCAGCTTCCAGAAGCTCGGGACGGGCACTCTGCCGCGGCAGCTGCGCTGTGTGGAGTGCCAGCCGCACCCGAGCGCCTCCTCCTTCTCGCACCCTCGCTTTGCCGCAGCGCTGCAGCCATTTGCAGGCCCGCCGCGGGCCCTGCATGCGAGCGCTGCTTGCTTGCCATTGCCGCGCTGCCCACTCGACGAGTGCCCGCTGCGGAGAGGCGCGACGGCGGGGCGGAGCGGCGCGCGAGATGCACCGCTGCAGCGCGCCGCGGCGTGGCGCGGCGCCGGCGCCGGCAGAAGCAGCACCAGGCGCGAGAGCGAGGCAGGCGCGCGGTCTCTCTGCGCCGCACGCCGCTCGCTGCCGCTGCTTGCGGGCGTGCGGAGCCCGCGCCAGCGCGCGCCCCAACGAAACAAGACAGGCGCCGTGCCCGGGATGCCTCCTCCCGCCGGCGCCTGCCCTTTTCGCAGCGGCGCGGCGCTGCGCTCTCGCGGCGGATCTGCTCGCTCCCGCCGCGCGCCTGTTGCTCGTGCTCGGACGGGCAAGCATCTCGAGGGCGGAGGTGAAGTGCAGCAGCACCCAGCTGGGTGCAGGCAGAGCGCAGTCGCAGCACATGCAGCGCAGCAGCGCGCAGGAGGAGCGGCAAGTGACGCGGCTGCGGGCGAGGCGAGGCGAGTGCGGCGGCGGTACGCTCGTGGCGGCTGTGCCGCGCCGCTGCTGGCTGCTGCGCTGGCTGGGAGCCGGCTGCGACTCTCCTGGCGCTGCTGCCGCCTGCTCCTCGCTGCTCGTCCACGGCGCACCCCTCACTCCTCACCACCGACTCCATCCACGCATCCTACACCGCAGCCTCGTGCATCCTCACCGCCGGCGCCGCCCTCTTGCGCGCGCCTCTCCGCCTGCCCCGGCGCCCCCTGCGGCGTCCCCACCTCTCCTGCGCCGCGCCGCGCCGGTGACGTGCATCCCGAGCCTGCTGCGCGCTCCGCCGAGGGAGCCTCGCTGCGCGCCGCCGCCACCACCACCGCCGCAGCGCACCGCCGGACGAGCGGCCGCTGCTCTCTTTGCCGCTGCGAGCGCTCTCGCTGCGCTCTTCACCGCTCCGCCGCGCCGCTTGCTCTGCGGCGCCCGCTGCTGGCTGCTGCGCGCCCGTCTGCCGCCATGTCCAGCAGCGCTGCGCCGCCCTTTGCTCCGTACGCGCACGACGCCTTTGGCCGCCCGCTGCAGCAGCCGCAGCCGCAGCCGCAGCATCACCACACCTCCTCGTCCGACGCCGACTCGCCGCCCAGCCTGACGAACAGCAGCGAGTCGCCGCGCTCGGCGTCGGACCACGACTCGCCGGCGTCGGCCACGTTTGCGCACCACCTCCTGCAGGCGCGCCCCGCGGCCATGGGCCCGCTCAAGAGCGAGCAGCGCGACGAGCTCTCGCTGCACAGCTGGGCCGCCGCCGCGCCGCCGCGCGCCGACGGCGCCGACGCCGCCATGGCCGGCGGCTGGGCGGCGGGCCCGGCCGCGTCGCCGCACCAGCAGCACTACCAGGCCGTGCCGAGCCACTACTCGGCCGCGCCGCCGCCCGGCGCCCTCTTTACGCCGTACGCCTGGGCGCCGAGCGGCGCGGGCGTCGATGTGGGCCGCGAGGTGCAGCTGGCGCTCGACCGCGGCGGCGGCCTCGACGCCTGGGCCGCCAGCTCGGCGCAGAACGGCTACGGCGACGTGAGCTGGGCGGCCAAGTCGTCGGACACGGATGAGGCGATGTTTGACTCGCTCATCCAGGAGGACAGCTTCGGGTGAGTGTGCGTGTGTCGCGCCATGCGTGGCCGGGCTGACCTCCAGTGCAGGCCCTCGTCCGCCGCATGCTCGGACCACGACGAGTTGCCAGCTGCCAGCACACAGGCACCGGCAGCGACGCCGCACGAGGCCTCCACCGCCGGCTCGCCGCAGGTGGCCGCCACGCCGGCTGCCTCGTCTGCGGCCACGCCCGAGGCCAAGCCGACGCCCAAGCGTGCCGAGCCCAAGGCCGCGCCTGCACCCAGCCGCGCCGCACGGCCAGCATCGAGTAACAACCTGGTGCACACGACCGACTCGGAGCTCGGCTTCTCGGCCTCCGTCGTGGTCAAGCCGCCGAGCGACGAGCTGCGCAACCTGCAGGTGCACGTCCACGGCATCCCGATGAGCGGCGCCAAGTCGCGCGTCGAGACGCAGATTCGCACGCGCATCGAGCTTGTGCGCCCGGCCGGCGGCAGCTCGGCCGCCGCGTCGTCGTCGAGCAGCAGCAGCGCAATCCCGCCGGCGCAGGACGGCAAGGGCCCGACGTCGTGGGAGCGCATCGGCTCGTTCACGCACATCAAGCTGCCGCCGCTGAGCAGCACGAAGCGCAAGTCGAAGAAGCCCAAGGGTGCCGAGGTGCTGCCGGAGCGCACGCTCTTTGTCGACGCCACGGTCGTCAATGCCACGCCGCCGCACGGCCGCGTGCTCGTGTGCAAGGGCTGCCGCACGCGCGAGCGCAAGCGTGCGCTGCGCAAGAAGGAGGTGTTTGACCTGCCGCCGTCGCCGGAAGAGATGCGCAAGCTCGGCGTCGACCCGTCCGCGCCCGACGCCGCCGAGCTGGCGACGGCCAAGATGGAGGAGGAGGAGAAGCAGCGCATCGTGCTCTTCAACTGCGGCGAGTACGTCGACTTTCAGGACGGCAGCTGTGTGCTGCCGACGCGCATCACGTGCTACTGCCGGCACCACCAGGAGAAGATTGGCTTCTGCATCATCTTTACCATGCGCGACTGGCAGGGCAACGTCGTGGCCACGGGCTCGACGCCGCCGGTGCTCATCACCGACGACCACAAGTCGGCTGCTGCGCACGCTGCTGCGGCTGCTGCAGCTGCGGCCGCTGCTGCTCCGCCGGCCGAGACGTCCAAGTCGAAGAGCAAGCCCTCGAGCGGCCCCGTCAAGACGGTCGACAAGCCTCGCCCAAGCCGCGGCCCGTCCGCCGACGCCGATGCGAGCCCGCCGGCGAGTCGACGCTCCTCCACGGCCGCACCACGCAAGACCTCACGTGCCAAGCCTTACGGCGACGCCGCCGACCGGCCCTCACGGCGAGCCGCCAACACTAGCACGGCGAGCAGCACTGCCCTGACGCCTGCTGCCGCCACTGCCGCAAACACACCTGCCGCTGCTCCTGTCGAGTCGCTGAGCCGAGCAGCGAGCATCCAGGGCCCGCGCACGCCGGCCGACGCCTCGTCGCCCGGCTCGACGAGCATCGCCAGCGTGACGTCGCCTGCCGCCGCTACGGCCGCCTGGCAGAGCGCCCACGACGGCTCGCTTTCGCCGACGACCCTGCAGACTGCGCCGCAGAGCGTGCCGTCGTTTGACTTCGAGCGCTTCTTCCGCGACGCCGCAACGGGCCAGGGCGTCGACTCGATCATGGCGCTCGCCGCCAGCTCGATCGCCGCCAATGGGCAGCAGCAGCAGGTTCCGTTCGGCATGCCCATGCAGCCGATGCAGCCGATGCAGCCGATGCAGCCGGCGTTCGAGCCAGCACCCGTGCCGCTGCCGTCGATCTCGAAGCTGATCCCCGGCGAGGGACCCACCACCGGCGGCATCGAGGTCACGATCCTCGGCGAGAACTTCACCGACGGCCTGGTGTGCGTGTTCGGCGACGTGCCGGCGGCCAACACGCGCGTGTGGGCGTCGAACACGCTCGTCTGCCTGCTGCCGCCGAGCTGCAGCGCTGGCCCGGTCGTGGTGGACATCAAAGGCGGCCCGACGCCGCCGCCGTCGGAGCAGCACCGCCCGCTGCAGCTCTTCACCTACGTCGACACGACGGACCGTGCGCTCATGGAGCTCGCGCTGCAAGTCGTCGGCCTGCAGATGACGGGCCAGATGCAGTCTGCGCGGGACGTGGCCATGCGCGTCGTTGGCTCTGGCGGCGGCGCCCAGGCGCAGCAGCAGCAGGCCGGCGGCTCCAACGCCGGCGGCTACCAGCAGCGCGCTCTGATCCCGCGCGATGCGGTCGCCGGCCTCTTCGCCACGGGCACGAGCTCGTCGAGCCGCGGCGCGTCGCAGTCGTTCCAGAACGGCGTGATGCAGTTCCTGGCGCTGCTGGACGTCGAAGTCGATGCGCCCAACGCACGCCGCGACGCCATCCGTCTCGCCAACGCGCAGGGGCACACGCTGCTGCACCTGGCCGTCATGATGGGCTTCCACCGCCTGGCGTACGCGCTGCTCGAGCGCGGCTGCCCGCCCAACGCGCGCGACCACAACGGCATGACGGCGCTGCACTTTGCCGCGCTGCTCGGCCGCATGACGATTGCGCGCATGCTGCTGGCCAACGGCGCCCGGCACGACCTGCGCTCGGCGCTGGGCCAGCGTGCCGTCGACGTCGCGTGCGAGAAGGACCAGGTGGACGTCGAGGCGCTGCTGCAAGAGCACGCAGCGCTGCAGCCGCGCGCGCCGCCGAGCCTGCAGGACTCGGGCATTGCGCTCAGCGACGCCCTCGCCAGCAGCGGCGACGAGGTCGACGACGACAACATCAGCTCGCAGTTCGAAGACGAGTCGGGCGCCTTCACCGAGGATGACGACGAGGAGGAGCAGTCAGACTCGCGCGAACACGACGAGACGGTCACGCCGACGCCGGAGCCGGCTGCCGCCGATGTCAAGCTGCCGCTGCCGTCGGACGTCAAGGAGCCGCTCGACGACAAGCCGGCCCCGAGCGAGAAGGGCAAGGCTGCCGAGGCCAGCAGCAAGGCCGCCGAGGCCGGCGGCGACGCGACGCTGAGCCTGCGCAACCTCATGGCCGCGGGCCTCGGCGACTTTGCGCACCGGCTGCAGCTGCCGGCGCTGCACGACCGCCTGGCGCACATGCACATGCAGATGCCCGCCGTGTCCGTGTTCCACCTCGCGCTGCCCGCGACGCCGAGCTTTATGCCCGCGTGGGCATCAGGCAAGCGCGACGACTCGGGCGCGCCGGCGCCCGAGTGGCTCGAGACGATGGAGCAGGAGCGCACGCGCATCGCCACGCTCTGGCGCAACATCGTCGAGGAGTCGGCGCTCTGGATCAACCCGCTCTACGTGCCGCCGCCGCCGACGTACGAGTCGACACTGGCCGACGCGAGCAGCAGCAGCGGCGGCAGCAGCAGCCGTGCCGAGGCGCAGAGCCGCTTCCCGGCGATCGCGCAGGCGTCGCCCAACTCGCCGCACAAGGCGCGCGCCGCCTCGCCGCGCCCGGCGCCGTCGCCGCGTGCCGCGACGTGGAGCGGCGCCGAGGAGAAGAGCGCGCCGGCGACGGCGCTGCCGCTGCCCGAGGTGCCGGCGGAGCGGCGCACGCGGCGCAGTGCCTCTGCGTCGGACGCCGCCGTCGCCAAGGCGCCCCAGAAGAGCGCGGCGCCGCGCGTGCGCAGCCTGCGCGACGACGCCATGCTGCTGTACTTCTGGCTGCCGGCGCTGGCGGCGGTGCTGCTGGTGCTGCTGTTTGCGTCGCGCGACTCGGTGCTGAGCTTTGCCGACCTGGCGTCGTACATGCCCACGGTGCCGCTGGCCGTGGGTGCGCAGCCGGCGGGCACGCGTGCGCCGCCGGCGACGGGCGTGCTCGGTGCGCCGCTGGCCGAGGCGGCCGCGCGCCTGCTGCGCTGAGCCCAGCCGCAGCGACGGTCCGCTCCTCGATCCACCGATCACCGATCCACCATATCACTGTCCCTTGTCCCTTTCCCCTGTCTCTCCCTGTCACTCGCCTCTGCTCTCCTCATGCTGTACCACCTCGCGCCGGCCATGCACGCTGCTTCCGTCTCCCGCCCCTCTGCGGCCGCAATGTGACCCTGACTCCTCTGCACTCTGTGCTGTGCTGCGCTGCGGCATGGCAGGAAGCGGAAGCGGCTTGTCAGCGTGGGCCGTGCGCGGCGAGGCACCGATGTGCGGGGCAGTGAGATCGGGCGCGGCAGCGGAACGCGCGGCCCGGCGCCGGCATGGCGGCACGGCAGCGCAGCAGCACAAGCGTGCGACCTCGACGCGGGCCTCGCCGCCTCGCCAGCCAGCGTGCCGCACGCCATTGGTCATCGCGGCGCTGCTCCACCAGCATCAGCAGGGTCCCGCCGGCCGCTGCGCACTACAAGAGGCCGCACCTGGCCGCACCGCTTGCCCACCCACCACCCACGCACTCGCACCCAGCATGCGTCTCTTTGCCGCCCTCGCGCTCGCGCTCGCCGCCGCCGCCGCCGCCGCGCCCGCCGCCGACGACTCGGCCGCGGCGCGCCTCGCCGGCTGGCTGCGCCTGCAGCACCACGCCGCGCCCGGCGTGCTCTCGCCCGTGTACGCCGCCGAGCAGCCGGCGCCGCTCGCCGCGGCGGCGAGCGAGCGCACGCTCTGGCACATCATCAACGAGGACGAGCACTTCAAGGTGCGTCGCGTGGCCTGCCTGTGCGGCCATGTGCTCACCTCCACATAGGACCTCGCCCACGTGCTCAACTACTCGAGCATCAGCACCAAGAAGCTGCTCGACGGCGGCGAGCACGGCCTGACGCTGCTGGGTGAGCCGCGCGGTGCAGCAGGCGACCGGTGCATGCGCTCACGCCTGCCGCAGCGCCCGTCAACTGGCACCGCGAGCACCGCGACGCCGCGTTCGGCACGCTCGAGACGGACGCCGCCGCCGCGCCCTTCACTGCCGAGCCGGCCGTGTCGGCCATGACGGTGCTCGAGCAGGCCATCACCGCCATGCACACGCTCGCGGACGGCGACGACGACAAGGAGCGCCGCCGCCGCTTCATCCAGAAGGCCATCGATGCGACGCTGCGCTACCACCTCGTCGCCGCGCCCGGCGGCGAGGGCCTCAAGGCCGACGCCATTGCGCAGAACTCGAGCCTCGCGACGCGCCTGCACGTCGACGGCGAGGCACGCAAGTACGTCGGCGACCTGCTCGCCGGCGAGCCGTTCCGCGTGCGCGCCGGCAAGAGCCTGCTGCCGCGTCCCGGCGTGTACTTCAACTTGTGAGTGGCGTGGTGGGCACTGAGGGCCGCGCAGGAGCTGAACCCTTTGGCACGCGCAGCTACAGCCGCCTCGTCTACCCCGACGTCGAGGCCGCCGGCTCGTCGGTGCTGCACGCCGTGTCGGCGCCGCTCTTCATCCCGCCGTCGATTGTGCAGGCGCTCCTCTTCGGCGAGCCCGACCTCGGCGGCACGACGACGGCCATCTTCAAGCTGCACGCCGAGCGCTTCCTGCGCCTGCCGCACCCGCGCCGCAACGAGTCGAGCGTCTCGCTGGCGCACGCCGCCGTGCTCGGCCAGCTCGTCGACAGCGCCTACCACCACGAGGAGCCACACGGCGACGTCGGCCTCGCCACGGGCACCTTCTTTGCGCCGTCGAACCTGGCCTGGAAGCGCATCCCGCCGATGTTCAAGGTGAGGCGCGAAGTGCTGTGCTGACCGATCGCTTGGCTGACACGTTTCCCCAGGCCTACCTCTTCTCGCCGTGGGGCGAGCGTCTGCTCGGCAAGGTGCTCATGCTGCACTCGCTGCCGTACGATGCCGTCTTCGCCGACGCCATCTACTCGGCCAAGGGCAAGAGCAGCGGCGTGGCCTCGACGGAGGACGCCAGCGCCATTGGCGGCCTCGGCGGCGCCGACGTGCAGACGTACGTCTTCGACAGCGCGCTGCCCAAGATCCACTGCCCGCACCACCACGACCACGTCGCGGCCAAGGAGGAGATGGAGCAGGTCACCGTCAAGGTGTACCGCTACCACATCCTGCCCGGCGGCCGCGGCCCGCTGCAGACGCGCGTCGAGGTGCAGGGCGTCGGCGTGAGCTTCCAGGGTGAGAGATGTGCTGTGCGAGGCGTGCGACGCTGGCTGACGACATGCTCCACAGACATTCCCGCGGCCAACGGCGCGATCCACCTCCTCGACAAGTTCATCATGCCCGCCGGCCACGGCGACGGCAAGGGCGTCTGGGCCGAGGTCGCCGCCGAGTCCACGCGCCACGGCTACGGCGACGGCGCCGCCGCGCTTGCGCTGCTCTAGCCGCCTAGCGCATCCTGTCCGTCCCCTCTCTATCCCCTTCCCGCTGACGTCCATGTAGCGCGGCACCTGAGCAATGAGCCTTGCCGCCGACGAGCGTTGTGGCGTGTTCTCAGCGGTGTATTGCACAGTCTGTCTGCTACAGCTTGCTCTCGCGCGCCGCGGGCCCGTCGTCCTCGGGCACCTGCTCGACGGCCTGGCAGATCTGTGCGGGCCAGTCAGCGGCATGCGGCCGCACGCAGTCCGCTGGCTGCTCACCTTATCGACGGTGCGCACGACCCACAGCGCGCCCTCCTCGGTGCAGAGCCACTGCTGGCCGGCGCCGTGCGCGGCCGGCGCGGCCTTGAGCAGGCCCCAGATGTGGCTCGTCACCTGCGGGCCCACGCCGCCCTGCGCCCGCAGCGCCGCGACGGCGACGAGGCTGGTGCGCAGGCGGCCCACCTCCCACGCCGGCTCCTGCTCCGGCGCCGCGGCAAACGAGGCGGGCGGCGAGAAGAGCGGGCCATACTCGCCGTCGATGATGAAGACGGGCAGGTCGGGGTGCGACTTGCCGAGGATCTTGACGAGCTTGGCGCTGTGCGGCGTGTAGATGTCGTCCCACAGCGCCTCGGCGGCCGCCTGCACGCGCGGCAGGCTGTCGGACGTCACTTTGCTGTGGGAGCGTGAGCGGAGTGGCAGAGCGGGACATGCAGCAGTGCAACGCACCGGCGCGGCGCCGTCGGCAGCGCCTCGGCGAGCTCGGCGTCCTCATCGACGGCCGCACGCAGCGCTGCGAGGTTGTTGATGACCTGTGCGCTCGTGTCAGCAAGCGGAGAGCAGCTCGAGGCGCGCTGCTGCAGCTGCAGAGAGGCAAACGGTCGACGCCTGCTGCTGCAGCGTCCTGTGCCTGGCGCCGTGGCGAAGCCCTGCCTGCCGTCACCACCCGGCGCACACAGCTGCCGCCTGCCGCCGCCGCACCAATACTCTGCCGCCAACTGCTTACGCTCACCTTCGGAATGCCGATGAAGCCGATGCACTTGAGGCCCGTCTCGCGCATGAGCTGCGCGCGCACCAGGCGCTCGGCCAGCGGCAGCGCGGCCGGCACGCTGTGGCGGTGGAAGTCGGCGAGCGGCGCCGAGGCGTTGAGGGTGAGCAGCGTGGCCGTCTGTGGGCGGCACGGTGTGAGCTTGGGGCTGTGGCAGCAGCAGTGAGGATGCCAGCGTGCTCAGCGTGCGGCGTGTGGAGGCAGCGCTGGCTGGGCTGCTCCATGCACCAGCCACCCGGCTCACCCTGCTCGCCGCTGGAGCCCACTCACGGCGAAGCAGCCCCACTCGTGCCACGCGATGTTCTTCTGCTGCGCCTCCTGCTCGATGCCGTGCCACAGCTCGCCGAGGCGGGCACGCGGCGGGCCCGCCAGCGGCCCGGCGCGGCGGCCGGCGGGCAGCAGCGCGGCGCCGCCGCTGGCGCCCGCGGCGCGTGCGGCGGGGTAGAGGCGCTGCTGCAGCAGCGAGCGGAGCGGCGGCGGGAGCGAGGGCATGGCGGGGCGTGGTGGTGGAGGAGCGGCGACCGGCGGCGCGAAGAGGCCGCCTCATGAACCCTCGCCGCCGGTGCGGCTCGGCGCGCGCGTCTTCCCCGCATCGCGGCTCCACCTCCCAGTCCGCCGCCAGCAGCAGCCAGCGTGCCATTCGTGTCCACCTCGAGCATAAGCTCATGCCGCTGGCCGGCCAGACGCCGCATCAGCTGCGGCCATGCCGTGCCTGGCTGCCCCGCAATCGCCCGATCTGTGGGGTGCTGGAGCGAGGGATGTGTCTTGGGCCGGTCGGGCCGGTCACGGGTGCGCGCGCCGCCGATGTGCGGCCGACGGCGCCGAGGGCCGCGCGCCCGCTGCGCCCCGCCGCCGCCTGCCGCCTGCTGCCAAGGCTCGCAAAGGCACAGATGACGCTTGGCGCTTCGGATGCAGCGCAAGGCAAAGCTCATCCGTGATGGTGCTGCCTGCTCGACGTCGCGCGAGGACGGCGGGCGGCGTCGGACGCTCGGCCCGGCGGCGGACGCACGAGCCAAGACGCGCGCGCGCGCGCCGCGGCTCTTCTCGAGGCGCGGCCGCTCCCAGACGCACGACTTTCGAGAGGCAGCCGCATGCTGCTCACCACCACCACCACGCCCGCCTCGCTCCGCCCTTCCGCCTGACCACAGCCTCGCCTCAGCGCCGCACACGCCTGCTACGCCGGCACACCCCGCCCGCGCCGTCTGCTCCGCACCTGCGCAGCCGCGCGGCCGGCCCGCCGCTGCTGCTGCCGCCATGTCGCTCGTCTCGCCCGCGTGGATCGCGCACGACAAGGAGGGCGACGGCGGCACGACGAAGCGCAGCACCATCTTCAGCGTGCACGTGCATCCCGACGGCAGCCGCGTGGCGACGGCGGGCCTGGGTGAGTGGTGCGAGGAGAGCAGAGGGTGATGGGCAGCGGCGGCGGTGCAGGAGGCGCAGGTGGTGGGACGAGGGGCAAGGCCTGTGCACATCGTGGTCATGACCAGCCGGCTGGACGAGCGAGCGTCTCGCTCGTAGCGATGACCAGCCGGCTGGACGAGCGAGAGGTCGCTCGTAGCAATGCCGGCCGCCAGCTTGGACAGCCCGTGCCCTGCTCGCAGGCTAGCGAGGGACTGTGCGCTCCGGCGTTGAGGACAGCAGAGCACGCGGACGATGTCACACTGCCGCTTCTCTCCACCTGCGTTCTGCTTGCTGACTGCATGCACAGACTCCAAGATCCGCATCTGGGCCACGGCGCCCATCCTCGACGCGGCGCTCGAGGCCGACACGAGCGCCAACCGCCTGCTCTGCACGCTCTCGCGCCACACCGGTGAGCTGCGCCGCGCCGCGCGGCACCACATGCGCTGACACGCCGGCAGGCTCGGTGCTCGTCGTGCGCTGGTCGGCGTCGGGCCGCTTTCTCGCCTCGGGCTCGGACGACACGATTGCGCTGATCTGGGATCTCGACCCGACGGGCCTCTCAGGCGGCGCCTCGTTTGGCGCCGCACCGTCCGAGGTCAACATCGAGGCGTGGCGCCCGCACCGCCGCCTGGCGGCGCACGAGTCCGACGTCGTCGATCTGGCGTGGTCGCAGGACCTCGACGACACGTACCTCGCCACCGTCGGCCTCGACTCGGCCGTGTACATCTGGGCCGGCGCGCGGACCGCCGGCGGCGGCGCGTTTGAGCGCATCCGGCGCATCGACTCGCACGCCGGCTTCGTCAAGGGCGTCGTGTGGGACCCGCTCGGCAAGCTGCTGGCGACGGCGTCGGACGACAAGACGCTGCGCATCTGGCGCGTCTCGGACTGGGGCGAGGAGGCCAGCATCACCAAGCCGTTCGAGACGAGTCCGAGCACCGTCTTCTTCACGCGGCCAAGGTGTGTTCCAGGACAGCTCGACCGCTGTGCTGCGTGCTGACACGCCCACAGCTGGTCGCCCGACGGTGCGCATGTGCTCTGCGCCAACGCCATGTCCGGGCCGGTGTTCGTCGCGGCCGTCGCGCACCGCCGCGACTGGAACAGCGACATTTCGCTTGTCGGCCACGAGAACAGCATCGCCGTGACGGTCAGTGGGAAGCAGCTGACGTGCTGCAACCGCGTGCTGACACCAGCCTCGCCTCCCATCCCAGGCCTTCTCGCCCCGGCTGTTCAAGAATCGCAACCCCAACGAGGACGGCCAGCCGTGCACCGTGATGGCGCTCGGCTCGCTCGACCAGAGCGTCAGCGTGTGGATCACTGGCCAGCCGCGCCCGCTGCTCGTGGCGCGCGACGTCTTTGAGCGGCAGGTGATGGACCTCAGCTGGTGCGTGCTGCGCCGCGTGTGTAAGCACACGGCCTGGCTGACATGCCCTCGCAGGTCCTCCGACGGCCTGACGCTCTACGCCTGCTCGGCCGACGGACGCATCGCCGTGTTCATCTTCACCGAGGAGTTTCTCGCGCCGCTCGCCTCGGATGAGGCGCTCGAGGTCGCGCGCCAGTCGTGGGGCTGGCAGAAGACGTCGCGCGCCGCCTCGCAGGCCTCGGTGGCACCGAGCGTGTCGTCGGGCACGATGGAGCGGCCTAACGTGCTGATGGCTCGCAAGCGCGGCGGCGTGCCGCCGGCCTCCAAGGCAGGCGGGCTGCCGGCGCCGGCTGCTGCTCGTCCCGCGCGTCTGGTGCAGGTCATCACGCGCGACGCCAAGGGCCGCCGTCGCATCCGCCCGACGCTTCTGTCCGGCGAAGATTCCAGCGCCGACGACGGCTTTGCGCACCAGGACATGGACATCGACATGTCGATCGGCGCCAGCGCCGCCGATCTCGGCTTCAAGCGCCCGGCCGAGGAGGAGCTGGCCGCCGACGCGCGTCCGCAGCACCGCCAGCGCGACGTCGGACGCACCCTCGGCGGCGAGCTCGCACGCACGGCCGCGGGCCCGGCCGTGGCGCTGCGCGGCGCTACTTTCGCCGGCGGCAGCGTGGCAGCCGACGGTGCACAGATGCTGCCGACGCCCGCGCTGATGAGCGTGTACCGCCGGGAGCGGCCAGAGGGCACGCTTGAGGCGCGCAACTCGGACGGCGCGCGTGAGTGAGGCGGCATGAGATGCGGAGACCCTTGCTCATTGCCCCGCAGAGCCCACGCAGCTCGTCCAGATGGACCCGGCCGGCCGCGTGCTGTGGCTCGATGTGCTCCCCGCGCCGGTGCTGCTTGCAACCAGCACGGCGCAGTTTGCCGCCGCGGCGCTCGACGACGGCTCGCTCGTGCTGTACACGGCCAAGGGCCGCCGCAGCGCGACGCTGCAGCTCGATGCGCCGTGCTACCGGCTCGAGGCGGCGCGCTCAACGCTCGTGGCGGTGACGACGTCCGGCCTCGTGCACCGCTGGGACGTGCCCGGCGACCGCGAGCTGCACCGGCCCGTGTCGCTGCGCGGCCTGCTAGCGCCCGGCGGCGACGCGCTGCTGCAGTTCTGGGTGCACAGCAACGGTGCGCCTGTGCTGCTGCTGCGCAACGAGACGGCCTACACGCTCGACGCGCGCAAGCTGGCGTGGGTGTGCATCGCCTCGAGCTGGTGGGCCGACAGCAGCGCGCTTTGGGACGTGCGCGGGCGGCGCGGCGCCGGCGAGTCGAGTGCTGCGGCGCGCGAGCCCGTCAAGGCGCTCGAGGTCGAGATCAACGACTTGGTCCTATCGCGCGGCACGACGGGCCAGCGTGCGCACGCGGCAGTGCCGGCCGGCGCGCCGGGCGCCGAGGAGCTAGCCGTGTCGTGTGCGCTGCGGCACCTCGAGACGCGCATGCTGGCGGCGACGCTGCTCGACTCGCCGGGCGAGTACCGCGTGCACCTGCTGGCGTATGCGCGCAAGCTTGCCGACGAGGGCATCCGCAACCAGGCCGAGGACCTGTGCAAGAGTCTCTGCGGCCCAGTGTACTAGTGAGTGCTCAGGCCCAGCAGCAGTGTGCAGTGCGGCAGGCCGCGCTCCCATGCTGCTCTGCCACGGTGCCACGCCACGCCGCTGACCGTGCTGACCCCTGCGCCACAGCAAGCCGGGCATGCCCGAGACGTGGGAGCCGACGGTGCTCGGCCTCGCCAAGGTGCGTCTCTGCGCACTCCGCTCACATGCCCCCACGCTCACCCTCCCGCCAGCGCGACCTGCTGGCCGACGTGCTCAAGGCGATGGGCAAGTCGCGCCTGCTGCTCGGCCTCGTGCAGACGTACCAGGAGCTGCTGCGTGCCATTGCGGCGCCGTGAGGCAGCCGTGCCGTGCCGTTCCGTGTGTGTCACCTGTTACCCTGTATCAACCATGCCGTGGCGCATCCCGTGTGAAGTGCGTCGCGAGCTGCGACGCTGCATGCTGCTGCGGCGCACGCATGAAGACGCTGCACCTCCGCCGTTGGCCGGCGGCGCACTGGCGTGGGAGCAGCGCGCCGCCAGGCACGGCACGAGGCGTCGCGCCGCCGCCGCACGCTGCAGGGTGCAAGGGCCCGCTGCAGCTGGGCGCAGCAAGCGCGGTGCGGCGTGGCGCCCTTGCAGGCGCAGGCGGTGTTGATTGGCGTATGCCCAGGGGGCGCCTGCCGGGTGCCGTTCTGGGAGTGCCGCAGCCGGCCGCCTGTGCCGCACCTTGCTGCCTTGCTCGGTGCCGTGCAGCGCTCTGCTGGACAGGTGCAGGCATTCTATTGCGCTTGGCGCGGTGCCTGCGCCGGGCATTCGCGTGACAAAGAGACGAGGGTGCGCGGTGCGTGCCCCTGAGGCACTGAATGCGTGCGGCGCCGGAGCAGCGGAGCAGCGACAGCCGCCGGAGCCGTCGAGGCTGCATCCAGACGAGCAGGGGCAAGACAGGCGCTGATGCTGGCCCTCGTCCGACGCTGCTCGCCTCGCTTCTGCCGTCCGACCACCACCACCGCCCGGCGAGCCCTGCGCCGCCATGCTCTCGTCGCCCGGCGCCGCCAGCAGCGCGCGCTCGCACGCCAGCAGCAGCAGCAGCACGCTCCCGGCCCACGTCACCGCTCCCCTCACGCCCGGCTCCGTCGCGCGCTCGACACGCCCGGCGCGCCACCGCACGCAGCGCAGCGTCGATGCGGCCGCCTCGCGCGAGGGCGACGCGCTGCATGCGCCAGAGAGCAGCACCGCCGCAGCAGGCCGCATCACCGGCAGCGAGCATGGAGTGCATGCCGCAGCAGGCGGCGCCACCGAGGCCCACCTGCACGCCGCACGCAGCACGCTCTGGCACGCCGGCTGGCAGCTCGCACCGCCGCCGCAGCCGCCGCGCCAGCTCAGCCGCTCCGTCTCGCCGCACCAGGCCGGCGCCGAGCGAGCTCGCCATCTGAGCAGCGGCTTACAGGACGACGCCGTCGAGGCGCCGCCTCCGCCGCGGCCGCGCAACCCGCCGCCGGCGCACCTGCTGCAGCGCGTCGCCGTCCAGCACCACCACGCCGCACCCTCCTCGCCGCCCGCCGGCAGCCCGCGCTCGCGCTACACGTACGCCAGCACGGCGCACTCGTCGCTGCCCTCGCCGCAGTCGCCGCCGCTGGCTGACCTGCTGCATGCCTTTCCCGCCGGGCCCGGCAGTGCCTTTGAGACGCCGCGCCCGGCGCCCTCGCCGCCGAGCCGTCAGACGCCGTCGCCGCAGGAGCTGCGCCTCGCACCAGCACTGCCGGTGCGCGAGCGCGTGCCGGCCGCGGGCGTTGGACAGTCGCCGACACGCCCGTATGCGCACGTCTCGGCCACGATGTCACGCCCGCCGCGCACCGTGCCGCGCCCGCAGCCGCCGACGCTCAGCTCGGCCTGGTCGCAGACGCCGCGGCGCGGCGCGAGTCCGCCGCACAGCGCACCGCCGGCCCGCGGACTGCGGCGCCTCTTTCTTCCCGACGAGGCAGCGAGCGCCGGACGCACAGCACGTCGACTGCGGCTGCGGCTCTCTGCCGACTTGGCTCCGACGTCGCGCGTCCCGACGGCCGAGCGTGGCACGCCGGCGCGTGCGGCCGTGTCGTCGCCGCTGCGTGCATCGCAGGCCTCGCCGAGCAGCAAGAGTCCGGCCGTCAAGCTGGCGCTGGCCCGCGCACGGGCACTGAGCGGCGGACGAGCTGAACACAAGACGGCGCCAGCACCGGCGGCGGCGACTCAGCCAGCGATGCCTTCGTCGGAGCGCCACATCCCTCCGAGCACGCCGCCTCGACGTGCTCCGCAGACGAATATCTCGCCGGGCTCGAACCTCAACTTCTCCCGGCCGCTGCCGCCGCTGCCCGACCTGAGCACGCCGCCGCGCGGTGATCCGCCTGCACTGCCGCATGCGCATCGCGGCTTTCTGGCGTCACTCGAGCAGCGCAAGGCGCGCGAGCGCAAGGACCGTCTGCATGCGTGGAGCATCGAGGTGTCGAGCGGCGGCGTGCCGGTGAGTGGAGGGTGCCAAGAGGCCATCTACGGAGGCTGGTGCCGACGGAGGCTGATGCCGTGTACGTTTCAGAGCGTCGCATCGCATCCCTCGGTGAGCAACTCGTGCGAGAGGCTCGGACATCGCTGATCGCAAGTTGGCAGGCCTTCCACGCCGCCGGCTGTACCGTGGCGCAGTTCGGTGCTGCCACCTGGCAGTGCGGCTGCCAGGGCTCGTGGACGGGCCGCAAGAGCTCCTGCTCTCCGCCGCCGTCGCTGGCGCTGCGGCCGCGCGCCAGTGCGCCCGAGCTGCGCAACGAGCTGAGCGCGCAGGCCAAGACGCTGCAGGAGCACGGCGTGCTCATCGAGACACTGGCGCAGGAGGTGGCTGGCCTCGCCGCTGTCGTGCGCCAGCGTCTGGGCGGCGGACGCGAGCTGGGCCGCAGCGCCGAGGCGCTCCTGCAGCCCGAGAAGGACCAGCAGCAAGAGGCGATCGAGTCGGTCACCGCGGAGGGCGAGCGCTGCGATGAGCGGCCCATCTTCGGCCACGACGAGCGCCATGACCCGCGCCATGAGTTCCGCCACGACCTGCACGACTTTCCCCGCTCGTGCTCGCCGGGCCACCAGCGCACACGCTCAGACGCCTCGGCGTCGTCACTCTCATCGCACGGCACGTTCCTCTCGCCCGAGCGCACGATGCAAGGCCCGTGGCGACACGCACGCAGGGACACGCACGAGAGCGCCTCGACGATGGCCACATCGCTGGGCGATGATTCGCCATCTCGCCTGCAGCGCGCCGTGCCTTGCTGCGGCTCGCACGCGCTCAAGGGGCACTGGTGCGAGCGCAGCCCTCGCCGCGCCGTCAGTCCGCCGCCGCCGCCGCCGGCTGGGCCTGCTGCCGCCTCTCAGGCATCGCTGTGGTCGACGTCCACGACGCGCCCGCGCACCACGTGGACGGTCGACTCGCGTGCGCTGGACGCCGAGCATGCCTGGCCGCCGCCGCCACTGCTGCCTCCGCGCGGCTCGAGTCTCGGCCTACGAGACTGAACGATCACTACACAGCTCTGTCACCAATGGCATTCGTGCCCCATCACACTGCGCTGGCCTCGAGCGCGGCGTTGGGCACGAGCCCAAGCTCGCGCAGCGTCTTGCTTGCGTCGCTGCCGCTGAACGTCTTGCGCGGGAACGTCGTGGAGAACTGGCGCGCGTGTGAGCGTGCGCGGCGTGCAGAGATGCGCGCGTCGGAGAGTCTTACCTGCAGAGAGCCGCTTGCCTTGCCGGCGTCGAGCAGCGCCTTCTCGAGGTCGCGCAGCGTGCTGTCCGCGCTGAGTGTGCCTGTGCCACGTGTGAGCATGCGATTAGCAGCACGGCAACGCACTCGACGCACCCATCCACATGCCGCCGGGCGCACGCACGCGCAGGCGCGCCTCGTTGGCCGTGCTCGCCGCCGGGGCTGCTGCGGCTGCCGGCTTCGAGACGGCGACTGGCGCGCTCTCGCTGGTCGGCAGCGTGCCGTCGCGCAGGGCCTTTTCGCGCGCAGTGCGGGCAGCGCGCTCGCGCTTGTCGGCCTCGATCTGCTCGCGCACGCGGCGCTTCGCCTCGGCCTGCAGGAGGGTCAGATGCTGTGCCGTAAAGGGGCAAGTTCGGCGCTCACGTCTGCCTTGGCCTCGGCCTTGCGCTTCTCGGCCTCCTTGATCGCCTCTGAGGAGTGGATGGTGAGATGGGTGCCTCCGCCGCGAGCGCTCGCCCTGCCCGCCTTCTCCTCTGCCCGCCAGCACCTCGTGCTGCGCTCAGACGAACTTGACACCCTCCCCGTCTGCGCCGCCGAACACCTGCGCCTTGCCTGCGCGCACGAGCACGTCGAGCGCACGGCGCAGCAGCGCCTCGGGCATCCCCGCAAAGTCTGTGCGTGCGTCAGCGCTCATGTGCAGGGCCTCGGCTGCGGCGGCTGCCACTCACCCGCCTCGTCGCCCTCGAGGATCTCGAAGAACGTCACGATGCTGCGCGACTGGCCCGTGCGTGCGACCCAGGCCGCGAGGCGCTCGGCCCACTCCTCGGGACGGCGCCAGTAGATCATGGCGCGCGTCGGCGGAGGGGTTTTGCGAGGCGGGTCCCAGACGGCGTCGCCTGCGCAGGGTGTCAGCAGCGAAAGCGCCACACGGCACAGCACGACTCACCCTCGCTGACCATGACCTCGAGCACCCGCCGCGTGGCAGCCTCGCTGAGCGAGCGCCCCGCGAGCGTGCTCCGCAGCAGGCCGTCGGCGCCGGCGCGCTCCCAGCTGCCGGCGGCGTCGAGGTGCCACACGCGGTGGTGCGCGCACCACGCGCGGATGAGACGCGACCAGTGCGCCGCCTGCGACGCCCACGTCGCCGCGTTGGGCTGTGGCGTGAAGAACGGCGGGAAAGCGTGCAGCGCGGGCAGCACGAAGCCGGACGGCGTGTTCGATGGGCCTGGTGCGGACGAAAGGGCAGAGGACGGCGCAGCGGGGGACAGTGCCGAGGAGGACAGTGCAGAGGACGAGACGAGCGGCGGCAGTGCCGGAGACGGCGTCGAGCGCGACGGCGTGCCGGCAGCCGAGCCCAGCGCCGAGCGCGACGGCGTGCCCGACGCCATTGGCGTGCCCAGCGCCAGCGCCATGTCTGCCATGTCGAAGCGGGTCCCGGGCGCCCCATCTGCCGCGTGTCAGCGCATGCCGCACACCGCACACGGCGCACTCACCGGCGTGCGCCTCGCCGCCGCCGTCGCCAGCCACGACGCCGCGCGACTCACCTTTCTTTTGCATCTCCTCGCGCAGCTCGCCGAGGTCCTGCCCGGCCTTGCGGCGGATCTTCTCGTTGGCTTTGCTCTCCTCGGCGGACTCTTTGGCCTGCAGGGCGCGCTTCTGCTCGAGCTTCGCGCGCACTGAGCGGAGACATGGTCAGCGGCGGGACGGGCGCGTGCTGTGAGCAGCCCGACTCACTCTCAGCGAGGCGCGCGCGCTTCTCCTCCTCCGTCAGCGGCTTGACCTCCTCGGTGCTCTCCTCGAAGTTGGTGTGGCCGCTCTTTTCGGCGTGGAATGAGGCGAACGCGGCGGACTTGAGGATCTTGCCGCACTCGAGGCACTTGATGGACTGGACAGAAGGGTTAGTGGAGGGGCGAGTGCGGCAGTGCAGACAAGTGCGGCAAAGCTGAGTGCGGGACTGCGCAGGTGGCGCTCTCCTCGACACCCGACGAGCGGTGTAAGGGTGCAAGTGCTTCGGCTGCGACGAGTGCCAGCCACGGGGTGCTGTGAAGCGTGCCCAGACGTACAGCACGGCAGGCCCAGACAGCTGCAGAGCAGGCGCCGCCTGGCTTCACGCGCAAGCGTCACAGCGTTCAACACACGCAGCGCATGCATCGAGTCTCTGCACGGCAACTCATCACCCGCAGTGCGCTGCAGCCCGTCGCGGAACCTTCTACTGCCGGGCGTCGCCGTCGCCTCTGCCGCTGCCCGTCGCAGCCGAGCTCCCTTCACCTCGCGCGCGGCACCCGAATCGTCGCCACAGCAGGACGGACTCGACTCTGACGCATCCTTGACACCTTGTGCCGCAGCGCTCCAGCCGCCCCCCTTCATCCCCTGCCGCAGCGCGCCGCAACTCGCCGCCGCACGCCGGATCGGCCCCTCCTGCCCGCTCACCTTGGCCTCGCCCGCGCCGACGATCATCTCCTCCTGCGCGCCGGCGCCCTTCTTGCCGAGCATGTCCGCCAGCGCCTCCTGCTCCTCGTCGTCGTCGTCGCCGGCCGCGGGCGGCGTCTCGCCGGCGTGTGCCAGCAGGTGGTCCATCGCCGGCTGCAGCCCGGCGTTGCGCGTCGCACGCAGCGCCCACTCGATCGACGCCGGCGCGAAGCCCATGCTGAGGACTGCGAGGGGCGGGCAGGCGTGAGAGGTGAGCAGGTGTGTGATGCGGTGCAGCCGAGGCGGCACGCACGGGTGTCGCGGTCGGACATAGCGGCGGCAGGGCGCAGGTGGTGGAGGTGATGACGGTCGCGGGCGAAGGCGCACGGGCCAGAGCAGGGCAGGCGTGTCGTGCGCGCCAGTCGGGGCTCGCTTACGTGATGGCGCTGCAACGCCTCCACTCGGAGTCTCAACCTCTCAGCCTTGCCCCTGACAAATCTGCGTTTCTGTCTGCAGGACAGCAGAGCAGCAGAAAGTCATGTGGCAGCCTGACAGGGAGCAGCATGGAATGGCAGAGACTGTGGGCAGCGGCAGCTGGCGGCAAAGCAGACCTATTTTGGGCAACAGCAATTGCCAGGCACATGTTGGCATGGCACGCATCATGCTGCTGACCAATGCTGTGGCCTTTGAGGACCAAATGGCGTGCAGCACGCTGCTTGACGCCGTCTACTTGGAGCTTCTGCAGCAGCACAACACCTTTGAGACGTGGCTTGGTCAGCGCCGCCGCCAACAGGCGTTGGCCACATTGTCTGCATTGGTCTTTGGCAAGCGCGCCCGCAGACCAGAGGGCAGCAGCTTGCGCAGCGGCGCCAGCAGCCTTGTTGTTGCTGAAGGCAAGCACCAGTCGCCAGAGCAGCTGTTTCAACCGTAAAACATGAGAGTCATGGGCGCGCCTGCTGCGTGCTGGCGCCCGCTGCAAGGCTTGGTGTGAAGTGCCCATGCAGAAGCAGCAGAGCACACAGGCAACAGCTGCACAATCTAGCAATACACCCCAGCATTGTGCACAATCATGTCTGCATCCAGCATGAATACAGCAATGTTGTTGCTCTTGAAGATCCTGCAAGAGGGAAGTCAAGCAGCTCTGTTGTTGCTGCAAACAAGCCTGCAAATGAGAAATTGAGCAGCTCAGAAGATCAAGCAGCTGGCCTCATCAAGAACAATGTTCAAGCACTTGGCAACACTCAAAGCCCATACGCCCTGGGCATTCTCATCCACAAGAGAATGCAGAGGCCCAGTCCCACCCCTCCTTCTTGTTTGTCAGGCCAACAGTGAGGCTCAGGGTTAGGGTTAGGGTTAGGGTTAGGGTTAGGGTTAGGGTTAGGGTTAGGGTTAGGGTTAGGGTTAGGGTTAGGGTTAGGGTTAGGGTTAGGGT